TACCTTATCTTTGCTTCTCTGACTTCGCTACAAGTAGCAAGGATTTTCTTTAATCCGGGAAAAAAAAGAAAGCATATTCCGATACTTAATGAGTTGTGATACGCTTTAGAAAACATTACGCCTACGCCTTGCTTACTCTGCTAATTTGTCTGCTTTATCACTTCAGTTCCCTTTTTTCCTTTGCTTTATCCACACATTTTCACAGGAGGGAGGTGGCTGTGTTTGCAGGAGGAAAATGGTGGAGTGAGTGGCGACGGCAAAGGCCGCAAGATGATATGCAGAATTTGGCAGCAAAAAAGTCCGCGATCGTATGCTGTCACTGGGGATAAATCAGAAAAACTGAAAAAGCCGACAAACATCGCGCACGTGGATTTTGCGCATCGTGACGGTAAAGGTCTCAACGACCACGTTGTAATGGATTTTAGTGATGTGTTCGCAGAACCAACAGGAAGCCACTCATTCAACTGGACCTGGCTGGTCGCCAATCGCGTTTTCCAAATGACCAGTTCGGCAGCTTATAAACTGTTGGCTGTTTTCGTTGCAATACCATTTGCAGCGTTCTTCGGCATCTTATTTGCAGTGTTTGCTGCGGCCAGCGTTTTCCTCTGCACACCACTTGGAGTACTGCTTGGCATACCACTCAACGCTCTTTCCAAGGTTTCACTCATTATTTTAGAAAAATCGGTGACAGTGTGGTAGCGACATCTAAGCTATTATCGAGGCAAACTTGCACAGGATGAAAAAATGGGCAATTAAATTTATAAACAGTACACTGATGTCAGGCGGGCCAGTATAAATGGGTAAGAATAGTTCGAACCAATAATGAACCGCTGCTTTCAAACTGCATCTGCTTTCTTCCTGAATCATAAGGGTGAATGGATCTGACCTGGCAGTAGAAAATCCGAGGATTTTTTAAAAATCCAGATTATGTGCACCAAGTGCTTGTGAAAGTTATCGCTAGAAGAAATTGCGTCTGCTTTAAAAAACACTGTCGGAGAGGGCTAATGTAGCTGTTAAAAAAAACAAAAAAAAAA